GGACGTTTTCTCCCTTCTTCTAACCCTTGACACACTCCGTGATGAGTCTTTAACATTTTCAAAGAAGTGATTTGTTTGAAAATTACATTTCTCAATTTTTTTGTATGTTTATACAGAGATACAAAAAAAATCTTGAACACTGTAGCTTGCCCTTTTTCAATTGTATACACACTAACTCGTGTTATCTTCAGTGACTTGTAAGATTTGAGTGCAAAGGTTACTGTTTCAAGGCTTACTTTGTTGGTGATTTTGTATACTATTATGTGCTGCATATGGTAATTCCTCTAACTCTAAAATCTTAATTATTTTTTTCTATGCTTGCACCTAAAAACTGATTCCACACAAAATGGAGACTGTCACTGTTTTTAGATCACAAAACCAAAAAATTTTTGCTCTGGTGAGCTGGATCAGCCATGCTGAACCAGTTTTAAAAGTGAGGGTTACAGTGTCATGTGATCACCAGGAAATTTACTGTTTCCCATGATGTAAGTTCAGGGATTTTTCTTGTATTCAGTGTGATGCAGACCGAATGAACATCTACCATATTAGTGTCACGTAGTGTCATTCTTAGAGCTAAATTTTGTTTTATAAATTGTAGACATACCACAACTGTTCCTGTATTGGGAAACCAAAAGGAGAAAATAGTTCAGAAGACTTTCTGTATGAAGCTGTCCCTGGGAAATGTCCAACACAATGCAAATTTTTACCCTTATTCCTGACCTTCTTCTTTTCTGCTATTGTTTTTACATTTATGGCTGTTACTCCAACAACTGTGGCCATTCTCAGGTATGTTTTTGGGCTGAGAAGTAAGTAAGATTCTTGTGAAAACTGATTAGTGAAATACTTTAATTTGTTTTTGCTTTGGATTGTGGACTTTAAGCAAATATGCAAGGGATTGCCTGTTGTATTACTTCATGTAGTAAGCAGGCAGTACTGGCAGCAGAGGGCAGTCATACTGTTCACTGTTGTCTGTAATTACAATTGGTGAGTAGGTACTGTTTGAATCTATAAAAAAATAAAATCTTTCCTACTTGTGGGAAAATCCCTCTTTTATGGGAGCTTTTTTAGTCAAAGCAAGAAGGAATAAATGTGCCATGTGCTTGGATGAAGAAAATATTCAACTAGCCTGTGTATTGGTAGTGCCAGGATTTCAGATTGTACCAAGAAAACAACAAAATAGCAATCAATTCTTTGATTCCTCTCTAAGTTCAGAGATCTGACTTGCAAAATTGTAGTCAGTCAAGAACTGTAGACTACCTTTCATATGATATCAATGTTGTATGTATCGTAGTCATTAATATGAACCATGGCAGCATATATGTGGCTGTTAACCAATGTTTTGACAGTCTTTCAAATTGCTGAAACCGCTATGCATGAAAACTAGATACTTTTATTTTCTAATATTCATTCTGAAAGTAGACCTGTTTTCACATTATGTTGAAATCTGACTTGTACCTCTAATACTTCCAGAGAGAAAAGTCCATGAAGCGTAGGCATACATGCACTGTACACATGATGCTATGGGAGGGTATGGTTAGATGCTCTTTTTCCATTTTTGTAGGCAGAAGATTGAGGAGGGGAGTAATACACTGCAACAGTGCTTTTTAGTAGCTTCCTGTTCAGGATTGATGTCAATCTGGTGTTAGCAGCTTGTCATGTTAGTGTGGGGCCAGAGTAATGTGAAATGTTGCATTATCTCCAGAACTGAGCTGACATAGTTTTATTTAGGTAATTCTCAGCAATAACATTTGGAATTTTGAATCCTTGTACACTTCAACTAAAATGGTGAAACAGTTTTTATGAAAGAGGCCTGTAGAGCAGTTCAAATGTGCAAAACCTAATTTCAATAGCTAAAAGCGAGGTAAGTTACTTCAGTGTATTCTGATATATTTTCAAAGGGCCTATTTTGTACAACTGCAAGTATAAACTTAGATGTTTGTGACAGTATTCCAGTGCTAGAAATACCCACACACACTATTCAAAACTTTCTCCTTCCTCTACTTGCCTTTATGGGTAGGGGATCCTGACAGTGACTGCTGATAACTGCTCATCTTGGTTGTTTTTCTATGGTTAATCCTCATAGATACTCCAGAATGAGGGAGTAACTCCTGAGTATTTAAATACTATCTTTTTTGGCACTGACAATGCCTCAGTGATACAGTTTATTAAAGAAAACAGTGCCAAAACTAAATTGTACAAATTCAGTAAGTTGTATTTAATTTTTATGATAGTATCTTTAAGACACTGTCAGGATAAAATGTTTGTTGCTAGAGAAGTACCTGAAAGAAATGGGTAGGAAGTAAGGAGGTAAATTCTACTAGTTATTAAATCAACATATTGTAGCATAGGCCAGAACCGACTAATTGTACGGTTGGGTGACTATTTGTCAAGGTTAAGGGGAAATACAACACCTTGTGCTGTGCTGAAGCCTAGTCTCAATTCATGTATTGCTTCTTTAGGAACAGTAGCTTAGGATTGCCTTCTAGCACTGTCCTTAAATCCTTGGTGGTTCTGTGGAAAAAATGTTTAATAGTGTATCAGGGTGCTGCTGGTAAGCTAGCTTTTTATTTGTACTGTTTTTTGGTTACTTGTTCTGCACACTGTATTTCTAAAACCCTCTGCTGTTAATAGATTAAAAGAATATATTAAAGCATATTCACGGAGGGACAAAGCATAGAAATGGAACAGTTAAAACTTGTTTACTGAGTCTTAAACAGTGAATCTTGTTTACAGGTGTGTGCCAGATAAACAGCGCTCGTTTGCTCTTGGAGTACAGTCAGTGTTTCTACGGCTACTGGGTATGACTTTCTTGTTGAAATAATTACCTCTGAATAATCTACTTATCTGATGTTTTTCTAGATTTAAAAATAATGCATTAAGAAGCTTTCAGAGGAGCTTGAAGCAGCCTGCCATTGGCTTATAGAATACACCTGTTATAACGCAGATGTAGATTCAAATTCCTCTTTAAATGGGGCATGGATACTCACTTCAGCCTTTTTTTGGTTTGAATTGGCACAAACAAAATATGGGTAACTCATTTTTTTCAGCAAACGACACTTGCTGTCACTTCTCCCAGAAGGATGCTTATTCTGAAAGTTGAGATAAGAAAGTGATGTAATAAAAACCAGCTTCGTGTAGTTAATATCTCAGTTTCCAGAAGTTAAAAGAAAGTGATGTACTCTCATACGATTATACCCTTATTGGCCATGCCAGTATATTTTAAAGCGGGTAGATGGAGTCTTCCTTCTTTTTCCTTCCTTTTCAATTCCTTTGACTAATTTTAGCCTTTATTAAAGTTGCAGACATTTGCACATAAATAACTACTGAGTTTTTATGTGGGAAATCTACTAAAATTCTAAATCTAGGCTTCTCCAGAATCTTAGTAAGATGGGTGAATCATCTTAGAATGTAAAACTGAACGTAGATATTCTCTTAACCACACATTTGAATTTTCTCAGGCATATTTTAAACTCTTGTCTTAGACACTTTTCAGATGGCATGTATGATTCAAGACTAGGTTAAGGCTCTGTTACTGAGTAGACTTTTTAATGTCAATATTTAGTACTGCAGCCATTCCCATTTGAGACGAGATGTCTAGCAGTGTAAGTTTTACTCTGCTGTACCTATTGAAACTCCAATTAATCTAAGTCATTCTATAAATAAAACATAACAAGAGTAAACATCCTGACAGGTAGAAATTAGCTGGGATGTAGTGTTAAGCATTGAATGAAGGCTTCTCTGTTCCATTTTACTCAAAGTTATCTATGGCCAAGTCTTAACTCTTGACTTCACTGTGGAACAGAGGGTAGGAGAACTCTTTGTACTGCCTGTACTGGCTGCGGCTGGAGAAGGCAGCAACTAACAGCATTAATACCCACATGATATTTATGCTGTAGGCTTCAGGAATCGCACACGAGTTCTAGAGGGAAGATCTGTAGTGAGGACATAACTGCTTGTTAGCTCAAGAACAATTTAGGCCTTGAGTAGGTTAAGTAGATGTGCACTGATATACCTGAAGTGTTTATAATAAAATTGGCTATACCTGGATGAAAACCACTTGTGCTTTATGAAGCACTGTTTTAACAAAATCACACAAATCTAATAAATGATACACAAAATTAAAATTATAATTTTAAAATAAATTTAATTAAAATTGTAATTTTAAATGCTACTCATTTTACCTATAAATTTTTCTTAGAAACTGTTACCTCTGCGGGATGGAAAAAAATGTATAACTGAACATGCTAATATAATATTTTAGTTCTCTGCATTTGGAGTAGGTTAGTGTATATGATCTGACGAAAGGAACGTCTTTCGCTTAGGTTAAAATCCTGCTTCCTTGATTAGCTATTTTTCCCCCTAAATTTAATCAGATTTTTCTTTTCCAATGAATACTGAGGAAGTTAAGAGAAGCTGTCTCTAACTTGCTTGATAAAGTGAGAGCTGTATAAAGAATTAACTGACACTATGCATCCTACCTGTTAATTGAGAGCCATGGAAGTGGCACACTTGCTATGTAATATGAGCCCTAGGACTTTGATTTATGTTATGCTTAGTGTGCGGCTATCCTATTTTATCTTCCCCGCCAGGCTGGCATTTCACTGTATACATTAAGGTAAGACTATTTCAAGTAACTCAAATGTTCTAATGTGTTATTGTGGGTTTTAGGTACTGTTCCTGGACCAATTTTGTTTGGTGTTGCTATAGACAACAGTTGTACTCTGTGGGATATTAATGAATGTAAAACTAAAGGAGCCTGTTGGGTTTATGACAATGAAAGAATGGCTTATCTGCTGATGGGCATAAGTAAGTGACTTCATGTTAAGTATATGTACAAGGTAATAGATATACTGACCTTGACTGCTAGATGGGAATTATTTTTAAGTAATAGAATCTTAAACTTTTACTTTTTAGGAGCAGGTTTTTTAAAAGAACACCTTTTTTTTGTAAATAATAAAAAGCAGAATATCATAGAAAGAGCAAAACCATATTAAGTAGCTCTTGAAAATTACCTAGAAAACTTTTTGTAATAACAATAATATAAAATAGTTTTGCTTTTTGGTCTTTCTTTATTGTCACACTTTATTTACTCAGTTTTAAGGGATTGGCACACACTTCAGTCTTACCTGGCATGGTCTGTTGGCAGCTTGTTTGTACACGAGGTGTTTTAGTTTGTGGCAAAGAGAATATTGTTGCGATGAAGAACAGTACTGAAAGAAGAAGTAAGGAAGACTTGCACTTCAGGCTAGAATGGGGTGAAGAAATATAGCACTAAAGTAATGGCAGTAGCTGCTGCAAGCAAGAACTGGGAGGCTGGTGAAGGGTCTGAATTCAGTTGGAAGACTGCCTTTATCTGCCCTTTGCAGTTCATGTAAAACACATTAAAATTCATGGTATCCATTTAAAAGCCTTAGTGTAACTCACCATGTGAAACTTTATAAATGACTGAAATACTTGTCTGCTATTGAAGGTGACTGCAACAAGGACTTTTCTGTTCTTTGCATTCAGGTGCTGCTTGTAAAATCGTCACAATCATCTTTGTGGTCATGGCAGTTTGTTTGTATAAGCCTCCACCAGCAGGTGCAGCCCTGTCTCAAAAGGATTCAGAAGTGGTGTCTGCTATACATATATAAATGATGAGCAAATTGGAGGCTTTTGAAAGAAGCCAATAAGAATAAGCACTGTTACAGCACTTGTACTGAAGTTCTTGTACACCGTTACCTAAATATAAAAGATCATATGCAATTCTTGAACAACTTAAAATATTTTTGAATGTGTATTATTCTGTAATTTGCTAACCATACTTTTTAGTATACTGTTGTGTATATCCAAAAAAGTGGCACTTAAATTTGCAGTCTAATTTTGTCCAATTTTAAATGTCTGATTTGTAACTTAAGTGAACAAAGTGGAACACTCTGATTTTTCTTTAAAAAAAAAACTGGAAAAATGAGATGAACTGGGTGGATGGTGATCTCCATTTCCCCCTGCTTATAAAGTAATACCTAAGTGAGACTGTAGTGAGAGAAACCTTGCAACTTGGTTAATATACTAAAGGGATCGGTCTGTCTTAAATGGACTTCTTTTAACATGCATGTAATCTGTGCTAGTGCCTTAGTTGGGGATTTTGACTGTAGATACACTTGGAAATGTGCAAGTATGGTCATGTTTTACAATTATTTTTACATATTATCTTCATGGCATAAGTTCACTTTTTAGTATTTTTAGAAAAATGTAAATAGTGTTATAGAATAGGTGGGTTTGTAACAGCAAAATGTATGTTAATTTAAGTAGCTGAGTCTCTGTCTAGAATATACATAGAAATTTGCTGATCAGATGTTTTCTTCAATCATTGTTAACATTTTTCTATAAAATTTGAAAATAAAACTTATTTTCTTACTACTTCTGTGTATGCTTTGTCATTTCTAAGTGACTGTTCTAGACTTCTCTAAAACAATGCTGAAATCTGGCAAACAGTGTGCATGCAATCATCAACAGTAGGAAAATACAGCTTTAGTTGTTCCTTTTGACTTACACACTGCATGCTATTAAAACTGTATTTGTATATCACAACAGATGTGCCTCACCTCCTAAAAGCAGAAGACTTCATGACTTTTGAGGCAGAAGAGGAAAGGGGAAGAATACAACTGAGTTTATGCTTGTTCTGTTTAGTTGGATGTCTCCTGGTAACGTAGTTTCCTAATGAATGGACTCATAGCAAGGTGGGTAACTTCCCTTGAAAGTGCAAAATACTGGTCTTCTGTAAAGTAAACTGGCTTCTCTTGTTCTTAGACTGTGAGATCATAGTTTACAGTTTCTGCTGTGTAGTGTGTTTGCACACACTAAAAAACTTGTGGGGCAGGAGCAATAGGAGCTTCCTCTTCTGAGGAAGTTACCAGCCTCTTAGTTGCACTGGAGTGGCTATTTCGGTGGAGAAGGGAGGAATTATTGCCATGGTATAAAATTACAGTTAATGCTAAAGGCTGTTGCAATTTATAATTTCACCTATGACTTGTTAAAGATTATCCTCTCTAGTTTAGAAGCAGCAGTGCAATGATTAGAGGAGACGCTTAATATTTAGAACTGGGTAAGTTTACCAATTTACAAAGAACCATAGAACCATTTGGGTTGGAAGGGACCTTAAAGATCATCTAGTTCCAACCCCATGCCATGGGCAGGGATGTCTCCCTAGGTCAGGTTGCTCAAAGCCACATCCGACCTGGCCTTGAACACTTCTGGGGATGAGGCATCCACAACTTCTCTGGGCAAACTGTTGTAGTGTTTCACCATTCTGAGTGAGGAATTTCTTTCTTACCATAGCAATGTTAAATAATATAGCAATAGATAGCAGAGAGCAGTAGATGTTGTGTCAAAGGTTTTGCTAAGTTAAATTATCACAGACAAGCTGAACAAGTGTGGTGTTAGGTATTCAGACAGTGGGAGTGAATTAAAAACCACCCAAATTACTGGCCCAGAGGGTCAAAGCACAAAATCCAGTGTAAGTCAAGTCACTAGTGCTGTACCCCACAGATCAATACTGGGGCCAATCCAGTTCAACCTCTCCACTAATGACCTGAATAGTGGGATAGATTGTGCTCTGGAGGAGTGGCTGATAGACTAGATGGTTCTGCTGCCACCCAGAGAGACCTTGACAAGATGAAGAAATGGTCAAACAGGAACCTTAAGAAGTTCAACAAGGGGAAGTGCAAAGACCTGCTCACCCAGGGACAAATAACCCCATGCACCAGTAACATACAGGGGGCCACCCAGCTGCAAAGCACCAGGTTCATGGTGGGCAACCTGACCACAAGGCAACAATACACTCTGTATTCAATAAAGGCCAATAACATCTTGGGCTGCATTAGGCAAAGCACTGGCAGCAGGTTGAGGGAAGTGAGTCTTCCCTTCTGCTCAGCACTGTTGAGGACACAGCTGGAATGCTGTTTCCAGTTCTGGGCTCTCCAGCACAAAAGCATTACAGACTTACTGGAGGGAGTGTGGTGCAGGGCTACAAAGATGATTAAAGGACTGGAATATCTTTCATATTGAGAGAGCTGGGAAAAGAGAAGGTTCAGGGAGATCTAAGCCTTGAAGAGGGGGAAGCCAGCCTCTACTTATTAATGCCCAATTGGGCAAGAGGCAGTGGGAATGAACTGAAACACAAAGTTCTCTGAACACAGATATTTTTTTTTAACTGTGGAGGTGATCAAACATTGGAACAGGTTGCCTGAGAAGTTGTGGAGTTGTCATTCTTAGAGATGTTTAAAACCTAACTGGACATGATTCTGAATGATCTCTTCTGGCTGACCTTCCTTGAGCAGGGAGATTGGACTAGATGATCTCAAGCAGACCCTTCCAGTTTGGTCTGTGTTTCTGTGAGATGCTCCTCAGTGTGGCCTTTGTCCCATTCACCCACTGCATGATGTGTGGCTTCTATATGGATTCTTGCAAGGAAAGAGCTGTCTGTTCTTGCCAAGTGTCTTTTGGTTTCTTTTTGGGGGTTGGTTTGTTGTTGGTTTTTTGTTTATTTTTTATATTGGCTTGTATCTCATGTTAACATTTAGCAGCTAATAATGTGTGTATACCTCACTGGGTGATATGAGTTCTTATCATGCTAACATTTCAAACAGCAGTTGACAGTGTTCTGTGATTTGTAAGTGCCCTGTGAACTACTGTTTAGAGTACTTGGACTGCTAAATTCATGGACTTGTATGTTTGAGGTTGTATTAGAGATTTGGGGTTTAAGAAGAATTTCAAGTATGGTCCAAAATAAAGATGATTTAAAACTTTTTGAAAGTTGCATCTCCTAACTAACATGATTCTTTGTAGAAACAAATCTTAGTGCAAATGAAGCTGACCAACTAAATATTGTAGTTGAGCAAAAGTTTTAATTCATCTGTGAGCCAGAAGTAAGCTTCTAAACCTAAGTATATTGCCCTGCATGGCTAGCGTGAATAAAGTCTCCAAAACTTTATTGAAGCCTCTGCTCGGCAAATCTGTAGGATTCCAGGAGTCTTAGAAGAGAGTGACAGTAATTAGCTGTTACAGTTCAGACTAAACTTCTGATCTAAATTTCCTGTGTTGTTATGTGTTCTTTTATCTCAAAATCAAGACTGCATTTCTCTCTATTCTGCAGAGGAAAGATGAATATAAGGTAATCTCAAGCTCTGTTTGGACAATAGTAGCTAGAGCTCATGTTAAAATCAGCTAATTCTTTGTATTTGAGCGCTTTTCCAAAGTGAATAGCTTAACACCAAAATTCACTGCAATAGCGAAAGAACATTCTGGCTCCATAAAGACAGAGAAGAGGGAAAATCTGAACTTTATTTTGCCTGTGGCTACCATACATATCGTTACTTAAAAGTATAAAGTATTTTGTATATATATCTTGCTTGCAGTCTCTGCGTGTTATTAGAGGTATCTGAACAAAATGACCTAAAATGCATTGGTTGTAAACCGAGTAGATCCAAGTATATTTGCTGATACATTATGGGCAGAAACATGGAAACATTAGGAAATGTTGCAGCTCGCTAGCTGTTTTTACATGTTTAAAGTTCAATTGCTGACCATTACTGAGGTGGTGACAGTGCCTTGCCGGGGGAACTCAGGGAGCACCCCGATCCCAGGGTGCGGGTTGCCCGCTGGGCCAAGTTCACCCAGGGAGGACTGAG